AGCCAACCTCTAACACGGTAAAAGTTAGTTTCTACACCGCTAATGAGTAGTATTCAGCCAACAGTTTGCCACCTTTTAACTCCACGACTAGGTTAATGGACTCCGGGAAATATGCCCCCCAATACGGTCTGCTTCGCTTCTGGTGACATGCCGAAGAAGTGGCTTAGTTTCCGTCTTCGATTCCGACGACACATTCTGCCACATCAATGTATATTGAGTAAACGCCAAAAGCTCCCACGACTGTTGAGCACAACTGAAGAGTTTCACACCGCTGAGGACTGATCAGAGACTCTGCGGCATCAATAGTAATCAGACACCATTCCATTGTCTTAACTACTTCTACCATCGCTTCGATCGCCCCCTTAAGCAGTGCTCCTAGTACAAACTTCGCGATCCGAAAATATAAGGTTGACGGGGTTAATTTGGTACCTGGGCTGCAGCGCGTTTAGTCGAGCGCCGTCGCTTTCAGAGACTCGGCTTTTCGCAAAGGTGGCAACATCCTCTTGTTCGTTCCTTCGAGCTTGGAACGCAAAGCCCATTGACGTCATACACAAGCTGTTTCATCATTTGCTCCACGCTTTCATAGAGTCACTCCACCAACACAGCGAGTACCGCATCGTCCAGCTCACGGGTCATTAGCACAAACTGGTCCAAGCGAAATCGCTGATGTGCACTCATGATCGGTGCAAATGCGTCGTTCGATTGTGAGGGACCGGTCAGGAAGTGAACAACTAATAGTTGCTGACTTAACACTTCGCTCGCTCCAGGTAGGGCGCGACCCAAAAAACCGGTTGTGAGCCACAAACACTGGGTTATCCGACCCTCTTACAAGCCGAACCTCCTTGAACCGCTGCATTTGTTTCTGGCAATCGCCCTGGCTGTCCGATCCGGAAAGTAGCGCCTCCTTCACGATGGCCCGCTTTAACATCACAAAGTCTCTTCGCACTGTCTCTAGGACAACCTTTGTCTTACACCTGAGGAGACTTCGTGGGGCCACCAGCCTTGTCCGGTCGATCTCCACTCCGATTGCCTCCAACACGTCCTAGAAGTTCTCTGAGGAGGTCCACACATCTTCAAACGGCTCTGGTCAGAGGATCTACATGATCTCTCCTGGCAGGTCACGGCACCAATGTGGGAATCCAAAGTGTGAACGGAGTTATTTGTTATGGCAAATAACAGCAGCCACATAGGTCAGCGAGGATCACCAAAAAATCCATTAGTCTGTGGTCCCTCTCCTGTGGGTTACGTGACAAACGCAGTTCCTTTACCCAATTTCAGTGTAAATATATTTGCTGCTCTCAAGCGCTCTTCATCTGGTAGGGCGTTGGTATGGTCCGCTGTTGGCCCGGTATCGTCCGGTTTTCTTAGTACCACTATAATGTTGATTACTGGCACCGTAGTTAAAATGGTTGAACAACCGCTTAACAACAGTCAACAATGTACATTTCGGCTGCTTGGGAGGATGATGTCCGGATGCGTTGTCATCAAGCTGGATGCTGCAGGACGAAATGGCCAACTGTTGTGTCAGGCGTATTTTGCCAGCATTTCTTAGATTACGCATGCATCAGTATTTATAGGCCAGTGGGCCGCCCAACCGGTTTGAACACTAAACCGTGGTAAAGAGAAAAAGCGAACAGTGGTGATGCAGTGAAATCTTCTTTGGGCAATCACTATACCAAGAGTACAGTCCTAGTTCCGGCTATCTTTAGTGTAAGAATACGAACAAGTATGGAAAGATCGTGGAGGGAATTGCTGCGAGTGAGAATTACCTATCCCTTGGATGTTCCTGATGTGCCCCAGTAATCGAAAAGAATGAAACTTGAAAAAAGTGATTCACTCATAATTAAGATAGCTGTCTAATCATTAGGCAGTAGCAACCCAATAGTCCAATAGCATTAAAACCGTTTAGCCTGATGGACTCTGATGGGCGCCAGAAATCGATCTTATGACACCCCAGTAGTGCACAGAAGCAGCGAAATGGATTATAACACGAGGGGACTACCCTGTCCTCTGCACGACAGTAACGTGTAAGTCAGTGGATAGCGAGCGGCGCTATATCACATCTACTAACTTGTTCACGATAGTCGTTGCCGTCCCCCGTAGCTCAGTGGTCTCAACCACGGACTGGCAACAGTCTAGTTGCGGTTTCGAGCCCTACCAAGGGTCCGATGGAATGCGTACTACTGATGATTCCCGAAAGGATGAAACGCGCGTACAGTGCTTTTCCGGGCTTGTGGCGGCTGTCTGAGTGAGCCTAGATGTGACGAAATTCTACCTATACCATTCAACTCCCCTTACTACTCTTCTGTAATCAGTACACAGAACAAACTGCTTATAATGCCATAAGATAATTGGCGGCTTAAGTTTGTTAAGCTCGTCGCTTGGTGAGGGGGTTACCCTGTCCTCTGCACGACAGTAACGTGTAAGTCAGTGGATAGTGAGCGGAGCTATAGCACATCTAGTAACTGATTCACGATGGTCGTTGCCGTCCCCCGTAGCTCAGTGGTCTCAACCACGGACTGGCAACAGGCGAGTTGCGGGTTCGAGCCCTACTAGGGTCCGATGGAATACGCACTGCTGACGATTCCCGAAAGGATGAAAAGCGCGTACAGTGTTTTCCCGGGCCTATGACAGTTGTCAGAGTGAGTCTAGATGTGAGGAATTCCTACCTATACAACTCGATAAATCCTTTCGGTGTTATATGATTTATGACCACGGTTTCTAGAGGAAGCGAAAGGAGGGATTCGCTCTAAATTTTAGAAAAGTAATCCCAGCCACACTCACTCAAATAACCAATAATCATGCGGAAGAGCATTGGACAGACGTTACACCCTTTCGGGAGTAGACAACATCTCTTATTCCGTGTGTCCCGTGGGTGCAATATTAGGTTTGTACAAAGGTGCAGAACCTAGGGTCACTGGTGACTGAGTCCTTAAAAGGTTTGTAGCTCAATGTAAATGTTTCCTCACCGGTTCTCGACTCAATCCAATGGTCGGCCTTCGTTGGCAATCCACTGGACGACAGTCTTCTTTTTTGTTAGGATTTGTGGGGTCGTAGCGGCTCCTACTTCGGCTCAGCCACTCAGCGTAGGAAACGGTACGAAGTGACTATTTGTTTGGCTTGCATAAGAATGGTTTGACGGAACGGTTCCATTTTCTGTTAGTTCGATTCACGCATTACACTTGAGTAAAGGACAAGGTGAATGCCGATGGCGAGATATTTGGTACAAAATCTAAGTGCAATAGCTGTTCAAATGTTCTATACAGTATTCCCGAAAGTGTGCAATTTATCACTGGCGAGGAAGCCCATTTCAGGTTGTTATCGCATTCAGGTCGGTCAAGCTGGAATATCACCGTGTACCTCTCGAATAGGGTGGCAGCTCCAGCTCCTTTGTCTTTGCAGTCTGTTTACTTCAGCCTCTCAACTCGTGTGTGCGCAAGTATGTACAGGAAGCAGGTACTGAGGTCACCAGTCTTGCTGATCAAAACAGGTGGGTGCTGTTCGCTTCATGCAATGACCACTGTGGGACCGCTGAGGCTTGAACGGCATCACACGATCTCCTAGTAGCTAGTGAATCTATTCGCCCCACCAGAACAATGACAGAATATGACAGGGTATAAAAATGGACTCCGCAATGGGGACGTTCAACCTATAAATCAGTCATTTAACCTACCTGCGTTACCACTAGCAGTAAAGTAGAGGAATTAACTGATAAAAGAAATGACCAAAAGAGATCTCGTTTTAAAGCATTCTAGCAATTTACCGTGGGAAGTGTGCCAACACAAATAGCCACATCTGATAAAGGGCATATGTCTGTAGATCCATGCTTATGAAGCTACTTGTCACAAATCATCGTGAGTCCGTAACAACTTTCATGCCATTTGCTTATTTTTTGACAGTTTAGGAATCCGTGGCCATCGACGGTTATCAGACACCAAATGCTGCTAACGTAACAGCGTCGACTTCCGGTGAACCGAATTCTCACCACATTATGTGAAGATTCAAGATGAGAAAATGTCCAGCCACCGATATCTGCCAGACTAGTTAGAAAGCCCAACTGGTGCCACGAGTCTCCCGCGGTAATACTGCAGTCCTGTTGACTCCAAAGATTTGGCGTATCTTCGATGCTTAGTACATCCTAGTCGATCAGAGCACGCTTAAATCATGGAACAAGTGGTATTGGTAGCTAGATCGGGAAGTGTGTCCATCGATATTTTGGCTTGCAGTGTATCGGTGTTGTATCGGGCCAGACGACAAGTGAGTTGGTACATCGACGGGTTTGGTTAATACACAAATTCACCAGACAGGTCTGCGTAGATAGTCGTGGATGTTGCTTGGTTAGCGGTAGATTGATTAGTACAATACAGAAGTAGTGTTCTAAAGAAACTTGATCTTGTTTCTGAACTTGACCGCACCCAGATAGCTCCAAGTCAAGTTCATAATGACCTGTATGTAAACAACGGCTGTGAATCGCATGATGCAAGAGACAATTCGCGATAGTTTCGCAAAAAAACGAGCTTGATTAATCGATTACCGTGCAGTCATAATGGGACAGTTATCCTGAAAACCAACTTGGGGGTTGCCAATTTGAAGAAGTTTGAGGAATAGTGGTGAGGAAGAATATGCGGGACATCTGACATATTTTAGTTTTGCTAATCGTCCATATATGCACTGTTTACGGCGTATTTTCATGGATAACGTTTACAGGATCGGGCACATTTATTTGATTTGCTCTGGCCCTTCGTTATGCTGCATATGTACTGTGCATTTTGCACGTAAAGACTACTTTGTGTCTGTCTCCAATTATTTCATTGTCACAACTGGCTTAAAATAGCAGATAAATTGATGAGAATTACTATAATGCAACCCGCTATCTCGGCGGGTGATCGTGGAGCGGCAGCGAAACCCAAGCCTAGGGGCTGTTACGGAAGATCCAGTGGCAATCACTGGCGGGTATTATGTGATTTTCGCAGTTGAGATGAAAATAACAAGGAGAGAGAGAGAGAGAGTAAATAGTATAATCACAGAGGATGCGTTCAATGCATTGGTCCGTACACACACGCGAAAATGACCCATGTGACAATGGCCTCTTCAGCGTACGAGTAAATGCGTACTCGTAGAGCAAGACGGACCTGTTCTCCACGGCACGTCAAGATGTCTCGACACAAGCGGGATCGAAGACTGGTGGTAAAGATACGTTTTGGGTTTGCATGCAGTAACTGATGGAAGGAAAGACAGGAGAGTGATTTCGCTTTTAGTCAATGATTATTAAGAGACCTACCACCACAAACCAAGGAAGTAACAGACGTGCTTACCTGAGAATTTATTCTCAAAACTCACTTGACCTTGGCTAGTTATAGATTGGTAACACCATAAAAGACCTCACCCAAAATACCTTAGGTACATACTAGTCGGGCGCACTGATTTACACTACGCGTTACGAAAGGCTATGCGAAGTTAGCCTAAAGCAAAATTCAAGGTAGTACTAACCTAGGAGGTACTCTAAGGAACAGATCAAACTCTCCTTGAGCTACTTAGTGGCGTTAAGATAGCATGGTGACGCACTCGGACAAAAGTTCATTCAACGGAATGATTAAACGATGGTTAATCACAGTGTGTTAAGAGTCGCGATCGGAACTGTAAGAGAACCAGCGTAATTTGGTTTTGACAAGGTGCATCTGACCGTCTACTAGCGCTACATCACAAATGCGTGTAAGATTCTACTGGAACTCACTCTCCACATCTTTGTCATGAGCACGGCAGTACCCATCAGCATACAGCATACGATGTGTGTGTAATGGATACCGTCGACTGGAATAATGGGGTTCCTAGCTTAAAATAGTAACATAAAACTGAGAGCTGCTTACCTGTAAGGGATAGGCCTTGAAAGTCGATCTGTTCGGAATGTATCGACGCACTGGATCCATGAACAGTTGTGCTTCTGGGTCCGGATCGGTTACACGAGGCCGCAATTGATTTGCCTCGAATCCAGCCAGTATAGGGGCCAACAAACGACTAAGCTGCGAGTCCCATTTCCAAGTGCAGTCACCGCCAGCGAAATGTGTGGAACGCCATTCTTCAATCATGCGCTGCAGCTCACCTTCGACCGAGTAACTGAGACGTTGGGTGTCCGACTCTGGTCCACATAAACAGTGCAACGCCAAAGTTGAATCCACCGCAACCGAACTGACTACTTCAGAAGACATGGCTCGCCACAGCGACTCATCCTAAAATGACAGAGGAAAGCGGCCAACAAGTATTTATGTGGGCCGAGATTATGGCCGGCGATTTGGAGTTGCAAAACTGAGGGACATCAGGAAGTCCTTCGAAATGAGTATTGTAAGTTTGTTAGAAAATAAAATAGAAATTCTGAAGTCACACTAGTCAGGGATAATAATAAGGCTGGGAGAAGCTGGACTTGATGTAAAATTCTAATACCCTAAGTAAACAGTTAGAATCAAATTGCTCGTGCCTTCCCTAAAACATGCGGTCACTGGCGGTGGGTAGGCTTGTGAGGACACAGCAGTGTTAAACAGACAGCTCCCTTGTGGCAATCGATACGCAGTCTCACAATGAACCATGGCTGACTGGTAACTCAGCAACAGTTTCACTTTAAACGTGTGCTCCGAAAAGGTGACTGCACACACGTTGCTAGTGTCGACCACGAGTCATCTACCGTGGGGTCTCAAACCAAACAAAGTGGACACGCAGATTTCGGTATACTTAAAAATCATCGAGAGGATTGGTGACAGTATGTGGTGAAGAACTAATGCGTGATTACTTGTACTACGATGTTAACGGCGTTTGATAATTGAAAGAACCTATGGAGGACAAAACAATAGGGATATATGGGCAGCATTTGTTAAAAATTCAGGCACGAATATGACCTCACCGGAACTCACGACCAACGGTACTTCCCGGCAGATTTGTTGAGCAGATGGTATTATGGTGCACAACTAATGAGTAGTATGTGTAACAAGGAGCAGGCTTGCGGAAATCAGTGGAATCATGCATCACTGCGGGCGAAGGATGCGTACTTCACAAAGCAGCGACCACCGATACGTTGTGCATGAAAGCACGAAGAGCAAAGAAAAGTCAGAACGGTACCACAAAGGAAGTGCATAAAGGGTCCTGATTTTCTGTGTTCTATCTATCGTGGCATCTAGACATAGGTTCTTTAAGGCAAAACCTTTTCAGCGCGTCGCTTTCGTCCTCCCCCCTCCGGTCTGAGGTACACGCATTCCAGGGAAGGGTCAATCATAACATGGACCATTTAGTTGTTGTGCCTCCAGTTACGGCTGGTCAAGCACTGTCTTGTACTGCTCACACCCAACTTCAAGAGGTGGTGACTTGCAACTCCACCTTACCGGTATTGAAGCACTCAAATATTTAAGGCTGCGAAATTCGTTAGCTTTGGTTCTGTAAAAGTCATCAGTTGGTGGAAAACGAAGGCACCCGATTGGAGTCGGAGGCTAGTGACTGGTTGCATAAATTGAGCCCACAATATGTAATCCAGCACACAGATTTGGCGTGAGGCCATCGGTAACAGCCGGGATGCTGGAGAAACACATCTGAAAGCAAAGTTGTGGCTAAGTGTGTACATATCAGAGGTTAGCACTGTGGAGCTGTTTTCACTTTCAAGCTTCCGACAGAGAAAATCACTGAACCAAGAAAATGTCCTAGAATGTAACGGAAACGAATCAGAGAGGAATACCTATGTGTCAGACAATCAAAATCAAGTTCTAGAAAATTTCAGAGACCAAAGGTCTGCGCAATGCTTGTCGACCGACGGATGTAAAGGCGCCACAGAAAGTACCTCTCAGAAAGCAATTTGTAGATGAACTGTCTCGACTAGAAAGGGCCCTGATAAGGTCTGGCTTCGATGCTGTTACGAGCAGAATGTTCAGTAACACTGGCAATTAGCATAGATCTGATTGGGGTGCTCTCGATCCCTCTGACGGGAAAGTCGCGTGAAAGTGGGACGAGACAAAGTCGTTCCCTAGCCAGGCCTTGAGACTGGATGCTGGTTCCCTTCATCAGTGCCAACTTCGACCAGAAGCACGACAGTAGCAGCAAAATATGTAACAGGACAGTTTGTCCCTCGTAACCTGTTCGTAACCAGTTGTTTCTGAGGTGAAATATTGCGTTTACACGCCTACTGGTCCCCATGAGACCGTCTAGGGACAGAGCGTAATATTACTTTACCGATGCAGAAAGCCAATTGCATGGAAGATCAGTGGCACCGATTGAACTACCCGATGCTCTGTCTTCTGCTATACCATACACGATGAAGTTAGCAATCGTTAGGCACTTAGTAAATCAGTTACCTATGAGCTGTTCTCGGCTTCCTCTAACAAGTGGAAAGTCAGATGCATTTACCGAGTATCGGAGCACTGAAGAAGTGGAGTATCAAAAACGGTCAATGGCGGAATGTCGTATCAAAATAATTGCCAAGCCATAAATCTGAGTGGGACACTTGCACTAGTTTATGACGATCGCTGATAAATGCAAGATATGAGTGGCTGTGGAATGTATTCTAGCGCGCCTTATCGACGACTACAAGTCTCTGAAACTACTTGAATTAATGAAACGTTTACAATTTGTTCAGCGTGAGTAACACACCAAGCGCTGAACAGTTTTTCATTTTTACAGTATGGTGATGCCATCTCACCATTGTAATGACCAGTGAGAGATAATACACTTCAAATTCCTCTAGTACAAAAGCATAGAAATTGTGGGTGGACACATCACTTCCCCACCATGATGGTGTATACAAATGAGCACCTGATTAGCATTCAGGCATTCATAGACTGTCTGCTTTCAATTTAGTGCCATTGGTCTGGGTCTCATCCTGATAAAGTACGAACGAGAGATTTGGGCTATCTCAACGAATGCCACATGAAACATCCTGTCACCACAGACCTGGCTGGATCACATTGGGGATGATATGCGTCAGATGTACTCGGACGGGGATAACTGTAACATGCAGTTGTGCTGAAGGTGAAGTGAGAGAAGGCGAATTCAGCGGTGGGACGTGGGTAAATGACAAATAGTGAGAACCAACAAGGAAGTCAGGTGAACAAAAATGAAGAAAAGCAAGCATATAGACCGCTTCATATAATGAAATGAACCACGAACCGAAAGATTGAAGGAACACCGTGAAACCGAGTCATTTGTTTGGATGTTCGCGTAGAAATTCTTGTGATTGTACATGCATCCTATGGTTTGAAATAGATGTTCCTCAACAAATTTGGGATTTTCCTCTTCATAGTCGAAACATCGCCCGGAGACGGCATCCCAGAATGTAACAGCGGAGCATCCGGTCTGAAATCCAGAGGTATACAGTTGACAGAGTGGAAACAATGCACGTCCCAGCAGTCATAAGATAAATGAGAGGGAGAGCGAGTGTAAATGCCTTGTGATTCAGTTGTAGTCAGTGAATGCATAAATTAGATGAAGTAGTAAAGCCGCTCCAACTGAGGTAAACAGTTCTAATGTCTCATGGCAGTGCAAGCGTATACCAATTGTGTGTGCACAATGTATACGGTTACCCATCTTCGTCATACTTTTTAGTGTGTTGTTACCAGGCCGTCCATGGAGACGATGATGGTGTTACTCCGAGAGTTGTGGCTCAAATGTAGTTCTGGGAACAGATTAAAACAACGAATATCGACCACTGATCCGTTATCGGAGTGTCGTAATGCTACTGTAGTTCAGAAGTCTAAGTGAGATGTGGGACAGGAGGTAGGCAGCTATGTATAGTTGGACTGGCAAACGCGAAGGTATTTGAAACTTGGGGTCAGTCTGAAATCAGCAGATTACTCTTCGGAGATTGGCAGTCAGCCGAACTGTACTTTTTCTCAAACTACAAGGGCCTAACGGCCACGTATCACTAAATGTATTAGAGTCTGGCGCCCTTAATATAAACGGCTATGAAAATGTTGGGAAAGCTGGAGTTGAGGTCGGCTTTATGTAGCCTAACCAGCTGACTTGAACAGTCCAGCAATGAAAACAGCTTAAAAGGACAACCCGGGAGGAATGTAACCATGCGTGTTTGGCTGAGCACAGAGTAGTGTGTCCAATGAGTCACTTAAAGAAGTGTCGTAGCCTGAAATTGTCTTCTCAAAATCAAGGGAACAGACTAACTGACCAACGAACACTTATGTGGGGTCAACACTTTCAACAGCGTAACGGGTGCAGATAGTTATGTAGAGGAAACACCTAGAACGACCGTACGGAACAATTGTTGAAAGAGCGGTTATAATTGTAACACCTTAAACGGAAGACACTAATGGCGCTTTTGTATTAGGTTTGAAATCTCACAGGAAGCAGTGATTAACTCTAACATAAGCATCGGTTACTCCGATTGATCGTGTTGCCTTGATACTAAAGTAGCTCCAAAACAGCTCGCATAGAACGCTACGGTCTACCGGTGATTTCATACAAATCGAACTCATCAGGTAGAGACAGTATGAGTTGGGACTAAGGCTCAGCAAGTATTACTCGCCATCAGACACTTCTGGGACTAGACCTCCGGGTTTCGTTGATTGCGGTTAAGAATACATATAAGCAAAATTAATCCGGTGACGTGGATAGAAAGCTCCGACCACGACTGGACCGCATACGTAATCTGAACCTAAGAACATCGGACAACAACATCGGCTATTAATGTCAGTCAACACTGAGGGGGAAGTGAACCTCAACGAGGTGCGAAACGCGGAGCTATCCCGTTCCTGAAACGTTGCAGCTAGTGAATGCGAATAGTGCATCCTCGAAAAACTAAGGCCAGCCATGGAAAGCTCGAGACCGTACTAACTTCTACATTCTGGTGGAACCTGTTAATTCAACAGCAGTGCGTGCTCTGTGGAACACTTTCTACTTACACATTTTGTAATGACAGTAACTGGCTCCGAGATGTATAGATGCATACTATGTGCTAATGTGTTCCTCAAGTGATGACAAACGGAGTAGAGTCGACCGTGTACCAGCGGGCTTGAGTAACACACACTAGTAATGCCTTGTTCCGTTTCTATTAGTTGCTGACCGGCAGGTTGATCAATCTGGTGACTTACACATGGCGGATAGGGAATCCTAAAAAGGAGCAGCAAAATTGTGTAACCGAGGAAAACCTAAATGCAAGGTAGCAATAGATACTTCAGAGACGCAATAGACTGAATAGTAAACACGAAACCCGTCTCAAACATGCAAAAAATAGACAGTCATCAAGCACGCGTAAAGCAGCTGATAGTAAGTTTGTTTTTTCAGGGCTGGTTGGGAGTTCGAAGCCGCGACCGAACTGTTACGTGACAGTTATTGAGTCTTGGTGGACCACATTAGGTGGTGCAAATCAGCGATCAGGCATACCGTACATCATCTTCCACTGCAATACTCATGATTACCGTACCGGGGATAGTAGGCAACTTGGGCTAGGTTGCTTGGAAAGAAGACACCCCGGGCACTGCATGCTCTTACTGAATAGCGCCAGTGAGAGGTTCCATGGGCACTGGAACTGTTTAACAAAATCCGTCGAGTGAGCAAAGGAATAGTTGTAGAATGGTACAAAACAGGTAATAAAGCTAAAGCTTCACATGTCCCATGGGATGGTCGAGAAAGAAATTAAAAATTCATGGAAAGTGTGTCAGTGAAATTGAGTGCGCATTGACGAACTCACCAAGATGGCATTTGGGAGCACAGCGTTTGGAGGTGTCATGGAACCTCTTGGCGAACACAATTCAGAAAACGGGATGCGAATGGCACAAGGTGTCGTTAAACGGCTAATTAAATAGCGCTAACAACGTGTACTGTGAGGGCCTTCCACAGCTGGCACACTCGAAGGGAGAGGAAATTGCAATGACATCCCACTGTGGGGTCAACTTGAAATGACATTGTCTAATGTTGGTGATAAGACTGAATTGCAAGAGGAGCGGAAAATGTGGTTGCGATTCTACAGGATATAAAAAGTCATATAAAGTCCCTCCGAGGAGACCGATGCAGACTACTGTAAGTCCCTGGCGGCTCCAGTTTAAGTGATTAGGGTGGATGAAAGAGGTGTCCTAATTTCTTAAATGTCCTTTGTTGTGGGGTTTCGAATGCCGCAAAATTCTGCTTCTGCCACGGACACAACGCCTGGATGGCACTCTCCACATGAGGTTACACATAGGCATACTTTGATGATACCGTTCTAGGTACCGATTATCAGACCAGTGCTGGATCAATGAGGCTGCAAATCGTGTTGGGCGATTATACTGTCTGTTCCAAAGCTTAGAATCTGCCCCTTAATGCATCAGTGTCATGATGTTACCTTTCGGTGCATAGAGAAGCATGCGTGAGCAGTTCCTCACCCACTGCTCTAAGTTCCCTAATGATGGTGAAGGATTGTACACTTCTACATCAGTGAAGTACGTTGGTGTGATACTGAAATACGATTTATCCTGGACACCTCATGTAAATGGAACACTCACAAAATCAGGTTTTCATTCTACGCCTCTCGGAGGAGCTTCGTTTCGTTCAGCTGTTGATTGGTTCGACGAGTTTGCTTTAATGTTCGCATACGTTTCCTCACCTTGCGAAGTGCCATCACCAGTGCACTGATGCGCGATGGTCAATCTCAACTCCTGTGGTCTTACCCACTAGACGTACTGCCCTCCCATGCTTTTCTGAGCTTCTGGCTAAGCAATAAGATTATTGGCAGCTCATTAAAACCTTTATCCAGATGTAGCGGAGTTCCGATGCTTACGTTTGTTAAGGTAATTTTGTCCACGTGTCAGTTCTTGGAAAAAGCTGGCGTTAAAGATAATTGCCGACGCAAGTCACCTCTTGAAAAACGCATCAGCTGAATGTTTGTCACTTTTATTTACCAGGCATAAGTACAAGTTAGTATATGCCCGCAAGCATTCTTACCGATCGTCGGTTATCCCTTATGTATCATGCTTTCGCTAGCCCCTAACATGGTGGTTCAAAAACCAACAAGCCGATTAGCAATATGATATTATCCTTATCTTCATCAAATTGTTTTCCTTACTTTACTGGTACTGTTTCGTAGTTCGTTCTTCGTTTGATAAACTGCATAGACCGTGTGTGTAGTTACAGCTGAATACTCGCCCGTTCTGCGTGTGTAAGACAATTCCTTTACTTGGCTTGAGTAATTTACGGAAAGATGGAAAGCTCAGATCGACCAAACGCTCTGGGTAGAAGACAGGCATGTTGTTTGATGGTTTCCAAATCTCTCTCGGATTGTTTCGAACGGCTGAGGTTGCTTTGAACAGGTATTCCAAACTTACCCCTCTTAGGCTTTCTGCAACGTGTGATCTCCCAGTTGGCGTGCATACACCGGCTGAGGACGTAGATGAACTACCTCACCCCTAGTAGCAGTAAGCTGGAGTAGACGGGTCATCGACAAATCAAGAACACTATCCCGGTCATGACGGAGGACATTGTAATCTTCGGCTCCAATAATTGTTCACCAGACCTTGACATCATAGGTGGAAAGCAAGAAATGCTAGGAGATAACGCTTGTAAGGTTGTTGGTGAAGACTAAGAGTAATAGCATCTCTGCGCTGAGTACCATGGAACACCGCTTTCAACTTTAATCAGATTGCAGAATGATTCACAAACACGCTTTGCAGCCTACGTTGACGAAGAAAGTTACTGATACATCTAGGACCAGATCTTCGATTTCGTAGCTCTGCAGTTTGTGAATTAGCAAGCGGTCGATAGCCTTGGAAATTTTAAGTAGATGTTGTCGATCCCAGCCCCATTATCAGTCGCTTCCGTTTAGCTACCTCGTGCTCTCATTGGGTTGATGGTATATGACTAGTTTTGACGAAAGCTGTGCTGCTGCGGTACTACGAGATTGCAGAAAGAATTCCTCCAGCCCTTTGCAAATACGGGTGACCTGCTGCTGTAGCTGATTTACACGCGTTGCTAATGGAACTTTGGGAGCAGGAAACTGTCTCGACAGACTGGAGCCGAACTATCATGGTCCCAAATTTCAAGGGAGGCTCCTGTTCAGAATGCGGCAATCACAGAGGGATCTGTCTGCTCACAAGTGCCTCTAAACTGCTTGCGTCTGTCATTCTCCACAGACTGAGCGCCGCTCATGAAAGCCAGATCCGCAAAGAGCAAACCGGATTTCGTCGAGGTCGGAGCTGCATCGACCACATCTTCACTTTGCGTCAACTGTTGAAGCACCGCCATGTTTATTGGTGACGCACCGTTGTCCCGTTTCTCGACATCAAAGGTGCCTTCGATTCGGTTGATTGATGTGCCTTTGGGACCGCCTGCTGAGGAAACGCGTGCCGGATAAATAGGTAGAGATTATCAGA